TTTAAACATTGGTATGCAAGTATTGTTGTAGTATGATGTCATAAGCTGTTTGTAGATTATAACTAGCAAGGGGATAGCAGAGTTGCATGGAATTTTAACTGCAATTCTTTTAGAAAAGTCCATACTAATTTTGATTAATGGTTGTACTAGATTTTATTCCCACCAACAATGAAGGAAATTTCCTTTTTCACTACAACTATGCCAGATTTGCTATTCTTTGATTTCCTAATGATTGCCATTCTTTCTAGAATAAGATAGAATCTTAATATTGTTTTAATTTGCATTTATCTAATAATCAAAGATGTTTAAAATTATTTTGTATATTTGTTGGTCATTTGAATTTATTCCTTTGTTAAGTGACTGTTCATTTATCTAGATGGAGTATTTTAAAAGAAATTAATGGCTAGATGTGTTTTACTGAAATAAATTTTAAATGTAAACATTAACTTTATATCAATCACATTTCTCATATAAGCATGCAAGTTTTGATATATTTATGTGTTTCTTCGAACTGGTGAGCATAAGTGTGGGTACACATGTGTATGAGGGTGATCCAGGAAATATTTGAGTATTTCTTTATGTGTGAATGACTATGCAGCTGAGTTCATAGTAAGTCTGTTAATTTTAATATATTCATTTGATTAAATAGTGTAGGATGTCCATTTGATGAGTGGTTTTATGATTGTGTGCATGCAATTAATAATGTGTCTGTAAGTTAGTGCATAGGCATGGTCACTTGTGTAAGTTTTTCAGAATAATGTATTGGAGTGTGTATATCAGTGTATGAATGCATGTAAATGTGTGAACTTCTTGGTGAGTGCAGACATGTTTGTATGAGTGAGTATAAGCATGCCCTTATATGTGTTTATGTACATGTATAAGTGAATGTGTGTGTGCAAGTGAGTATATAAGTGTATGTTATGAATTTGTTAGTTTCTCATATGTGAATGAATATGTGAGCATATTTTTGTGCAAGAGTAAATATGGGTGTAATCAAATGTGAGGGAATATGTATGAATGGCTTGTAAATGAATACATGGGAGAATGCATGCATGTCCACAGCATTTAAGAGTTTCAAAGTTAATGAGGAAAAACACTTGAGAGGCTCAGGCACTGAATAAAAATCTCTAAATTTGTGCCAAACAGGAAATAATTTTCAGAGTCAGCTCAGAAGAAGTTTATGATAGCTTTGATTTCCTGCAGGTATGCTAGGCTCTCTCAGCTTGCTTTTATTCCCAGAAAAATAATTTGTGTGGTATAGTACAACTCCTGGTGGCATTAATAGTGGCATAAAATGTTGGGATCAGTAAGTTTGTATGCTATCTGCCTTACATTCAGCATCCGGGTTGACTAAATTGGTTATCAAATCAGGTCGCTAATTCCCACATATTCACATGAGAGTAGACTTGGTATTGTTAGTGGAAGTCAGTGTCTGGATGAGTAGACCCATCTTGATAAACAGGAATGATGGGTATTTGTCAGATATTAAGCTATGTATATCAAAATGATGAGTAGAAGCAAGCCCCAAATATGAGTGTATTTGACACCTTATATGAATAAGGTTATATGAAGTTTTGGTTTAGTTAAATATTTGAATATTCCTTCTTCTTCAGACTGGAATCCATTTTTGCTTGGGTTTCCTGCCAATACATTGCTATATACTTAGGAAATTGGATAAACTTCTAAGGTGCTCTTGTCAGTATGGAGAAAATTACGTTAATTTAGCAATGCAATAAATTAAACACTAAACTAAAAGGCACTTAAAATTTGCATCTCACAGGTGGACAATATGCTTTCAAAAACAGACTGCTATTTTATTATTCTTTGGTCCCACTTATGTCTTGGTTTATTATAAGGCTTCTGTGTTACTGAAGGAAATCATCTGCCTTATCACTTGTATTCTAGGGCAAGCTTACCTAGGACAGCTTTAATAATCTCAGAATATGTTCTTTGAAGGAGATGGTAAGAATAGTAAGTGTCATCATAGGTTAGCTTTGCAATCAAGCTTCTTATTGTTGTTTGTTTCCAATATAATATATGTGTATTAACTAATGGTCAACTTCCAACACTCAGTTAAACTGAACCAGCATGGTTCTTGGTGCAGAAGGCTCACCTGAGGATTGTTGCCAATAGCGTAAAAGAAGAACTGGAGGGGAAGATGGTATGCTGTTGATTCTCCTAGAGAAGATCCTCACCCGGGTTTTTCTGTTATGATATCAGCTGTTCTCATTATTAGAGGAGCTTGGGCTCTCTGGGGAGCTCTGGTCCTTCCCATGAGTGTTGCTTCCTGGTTCAAGTGCAGATCCCTCAGCGTGCGGGCACAGATCCTTCTTCCCACCGGCACAGACTTTCTGGCTTGCCCCGCTGACCTTTGGGCCTTCCCAGTGTAGATCCTTAATATAGGCTTGCATGAGATATTGTTGTGAACTCTCAACCTCCACCTGGAATCATGGAGGACATAGCTACGGGCTCTAGGTTTTCATATGAAATGATGCAGGACACTGCTGTAGGAACCCAGGCTCTTAGGTAGACTGTTTGGGTCTCTAGTGTGTTGACAGATCACTTGATATCCTCTGCATTTGACTTTTAGGTGAATATTATAAAATAATTCTATAAATTTGTATCATATATCAAATCTATTTCCTAACAAACCTTCACTACAACAGATGGGATGTGTCTATTTTTAAAAGATTATCTAGCAGACAAAAACTGGCAAATTTCCTTAAATACTTACCAAGTCATTTTAATTGTGGTTTTGTAGTTCTTGAAAATTTTACTGTTGCTGTAAGCAAATAGTTATCTAGTTAAATTTTAAAAACAGATGCATCGAGAGCTGTTAAATATCTCCATGAGTTCAAATATGTTTTCATAAGAGCTGTCTTGGCAGGAAGCATTACAATTGCTGAAAAGACTGCTTCCATTAAGACATGTAAATTTTAAATTACTATTGTAAAATGCTAGGGAAGCAATGTTTATCTAGGTTTAGTCCTTGATTTTCTGATATGCTCTGAACCAAATAAATTTTCCTTCCCTTATATATTTATTAGAAACCAGGAAAGAAGCCCATGGTAAGGTGCTTTTGGTCACTGATCTGTAATTATATTTATACCTCAATCATTTATTGAGGGCTTGTACTGAAGAAGAGAGAGATCTTTATAGTTAATAAAAAAAGAAACCAATAGTTGTGAAAGCATATTTTATTGGCAGGATTTACATTTGTCATTACCAACATATAATATGATCTTTGTAAATCCATGGAATTGGTTGATACTGGCTGTGAATTATAGTATTTTGATCTGATTGCAGCAATCACAAACATCCTGGTAGTGAAACTGAGTATGTACTCTCTCTGAGAGTTCTTTAAGTGAGACTTTATAGGTAGTGGCCCATGGTTGTATTTTATGATACTAAGGAATAATAATGGAGCTTATCTGATCTGAAGTGAAAGTTTTCCCACAGGCATAGAAAGCACTGCTGAGTAGTTGCTGCTAATAGTAATATGAATACAATTCATGTTCACTTCAATGTAGGTGTCTGTGGTCATGTCAGTAGGACTGAACAATTTGAATAGTCAAGTTTATGGTTCCAAACGTCCCTAATATGATTGTGTTGCATGTTTTTCTGTGCTATGCAGTCAGTATGTTGTTTCTAGATATACACTGTCACCAGTAGAGACTAAATTACTGGAACTATATTGATCCATCAATAAACTTGTAGTAGACATCCAGTAGATATGGAGAATCCAGTAGATACGAAGGAAGAGGAGTTTCTCAGGTAAAGAAGGGGCAAAATAGCAGAGTAAGAGTCAAAGTCAGAGATCATTTGTGGCCAGAAGGAATTCTCCTGTCCAATGACTATCATTAAATGGTATTTCCTGAACTGGGAATGGTTTGGTTCCATCTCCTGAATGGTAGGATCAGATTTATTCCACAGGATCTTTAATTGAGCAAAGTACAGGGATAGGAGATTGAGAATTCCTCTCCACATTAGTGAGAGGGAGGGTGTTTATGCTAAATGATGAGTAGATTCAGGCTGAAAATTGTTCCAGAATCACTGATTCACATCAAATACTTCTCAAAATAAGGAAGGAAGTGATTATCCTCTGGGTTTTCAATGACAAAGAAAGGAAAAGTGTAAATACCAAGCTTCCTTTTTCTATGAGTTAACAATGTCAGTGCTTTCTTGTTAGTGAAACTGGTGACTGCATTGTATCTTTTATGGGTGAATGCACCAGCAGATGTTACAACAGCTTTGTTGGTACTAGCGGCTCCTAGTAATAAGCACTGAATTCATCATTTAAATATAGTATTGTTATGGCATAGGTGCATGATCGTCTAATCTATGGCCACTGTCTTGTAAGTATTCTTCATAGCCTTTATTTGAAAAGTCTATTTTATCTTTTTATGATACCTATTGTGGTAAGATAACTTGTAGGGGGTCACTGCTCTGTTTGCTTTGTGGGAGACTTGATATGAGTACGTACCTAGTAGTTCTCCCAAAAGCTTGAAAATCTGTTTTGTTAAACTCTCAACAGCATTTGCAGAGGTTGGTGCCTTGCATGGATAAGTAATTAAAAGATCTATGTTAGTAATCATCATAATTAAGATATAACTAATGGCTTTTTCCACTGCAGTGAGAGACAGTAAAATCAATTTACAGTTCTGATGGGGCCCTTCTTTGTAAATGTTTCCTCCAATGAAGTATTACAGTACCTTGATTTCTGTCAATCTGGTAGGGTCTCTAATGGCTTTATATAAAAAATGTCTTTGCTGAGTTGCTCCTCAATTAACAATCCATTTTATAATTCCATGAGGAATAAAAGGTATGGCCTGCTTGTGCTCACCAATAGAAGGGATAGGATAGATTATTTCAAAATTCTGAGGGGTTCTTCTCCTTAACAAATTTACTTGTTTCAGTGGCTTGGTTATTTTGTTGGCCTTAGCTCATTTTTTGCCTCTTCTATGATTTATTTTGTATAAACTGTAGTGTAATTCACAAAGTTGGGTCTCACCATACTCCTCTTTTATTAGCACATGTTTACAGTACAGAGTGAATACATCAATCCTGGAGAAGTTGTACAAGTACATATCTTTGAAGGAGGACATAGAGTAATGTCTTCTGCAAAAGCAAATTCAAATAACAATATAGTCATACTACCTTTATAAAGGTTTCTCCTCCCAACTCTGCTTAAGTGATCAGCCTTGGCCTGGTATCTCTGGATTATTAGCTCATTTACCTGCCAACCTGCCATTGGTAGGGCCCAAAGAGAGGGAAGTGCTTTTATCTCAGAAACTTCAAATCTTCCGGCATGGGCTTCAAAGGTGTGTTGAGGTATGTAATTTTCTTTTTCTATTTAGTCCTACAGGGCAGACTGATCTTTCTCATGGAGCCACATACTTCTAACCACAAAAGTCAGTTAAAACAGCATTAGTTCATTCATTCATTCAAATGACAGTGCTACTGCTATTTGACTCAATCAGGCACTTGGAGAGCCATACAAAATAAAAATGGAATATTGTACAAAGCAATATCGTGCCAACAAAGTAAATATCACATTGTATCTCTAGTGTAAAAAACAATAAAAACTGAAAGAGTAATAAGATCCAAAATATATAATATTGTAAAAGTGAAAGTGCTCTAAAGATAAAATGGTGCCTATAAGTGTGTAAGATAGATGAACATATTACTAAATTTCTGTTGGATTATTGAACAGAATGGTTTGCACTGTCAATGTTTGAGTGTCTATCCACTTTTTGTGCTCTGATTTTGTCTTGAACAACTATTTCTAAGATGACTATGTAATGTATCAACTAGTGGTTTCCTAGTGTTATTTTTTTTTTTTTTTGGATTCTGTATTATTCTAGCTCTTTTCTATTTTGTTGTCTTTCTTTCTTTCTTTTTTTCTTTCTTTCTTTCTTTCTTTTGATAAATAAATTTAAAATTTAAAAAAAATCATACCAACTGAAGATATTCAAAAATTTTAGTACCAATCATTTGAACCTATCTTGGATAACTGACATAATGACTGGATGAGCTTCATATCAATTTCCTAATCAACTCCAATATTTTTTCCTTTTTTCAAGAGAATCAGGAGCTAATCGAGAGGAAAATGCCTGTGATAATCTTTGTTTGAAGAACACTCACAGCTTTACCTGAGCAGGACATCCTCACAATGGAAAACTTTCTAGAAGGAGGCAAAGGATTTCCCAGAGAAAACTTGGAATCAGTGAGAAGGCCTGCATATTTAGATAATGCTATTCAGCAGCATGACAGGAGGTCTCTGGGTCAGAAAGTGTTAAAGAACTTCAGTGACTCAAGGTCTTTTATAGCTATAAGATTCATTTTTATCTATGGGTAACAGATGTTAGTTGAAATTTTGCAGAGAATGCAAAACAGGCTCTGAATAGCTAAAATTTTGTTTATTTTGGGATACATTTGAAACAACTGACTATGTAAAACTCAAGTTAAGTGCCAGCTGGCTTTTGAGCTAATAGGTTCCAGCCATCTGTGAAGAAGTAAACAACATAGGGTCAATACAAAAGGTCATCTTTGGCTTCTTTATACAACAGTGCCCATGTCAGGCAGTGAATACATGAGCTTGTTCAATTGTGAGTGTCTTAATATGAGTACAGCTGTCTCTTTCAGTAAATATGCATGTTCACGTGGCCAAAGAAGAGTATGATCACATGTGCAAATATCAGCATGTTTGTGTGTGTGAGTGAATTTATAAACATATTTTATTATGATGTTTTCAATATACGAGTATATTTGAGAGAAACTATGAGCTTGTCTGTGAGTGCACATATCTGTGTGAGTCAACTTGTAATGTGGCACATGAATGTGAGCACATTCACCTGTATGAATGAATGTGTAATTACATTTGTATGCGCTTGTTAAGGTGTACATATATTAGCATGAGTGAATTGCAAACATGAACATGTTAGTATATGTGAGCTCTGTCAAAAGACTCTCAACTGAAGGAGCAAAAGGAAGCTGAAATGCCATTCACATATGATTAATCAAACCATGTATTGTGGCACAGGAATGCAATCAGCAAAAAGAGCACTCTTGCCTCTATCTGCTCAGAGGAGCCACCCTATATGCTATTAGTGGTCAGGACTAAAACTTAGCTATGATACACTGTTGTGGCATACCTAGATGTCTCTGAAAACACTCATGTGGTCATAGGTGGGGCTTCTTGGAAGTGACTGGATTTGGGCTATGTGATTCTGGGATTAAGGTTTTCACACTGGAATGGTGTGTTGCCCCAGGGAAGGTAGCCTGGACAGCATATAAGGGACAGGAAGACGATTGGTACCATTACTTGCTGCTTGTTTTCTGCTCACTGCTTTCCATGCCATGAAGTGTTATTTCACTTCTATGACAATTTTTTGCCATGCCATCCTACTTTGGAACCCGCTGACTATAGAGTGAAGCCTCTACAAGCTGAGATGAAATAAACCTCCTTCTTTAACTTCAAGTGTCAGGTATTTTTTCTTAGTAACTAAAACATATACTTACATCTCTAAAAGTATAGCCAGAAGAGAAGCCTCCAGATAAAGTGCCTAAGTAACATTTTTGGAGTTCTGAACTCTCTGAAGAATTTGGGAAGGCAAAAATAGTGTTGGGAGTAACACTTTCATTTTCTATTACTCATCACAGTGCCAGTGCTTAAATAACAAGTATATGAAACACTAGATGAAAACATTCACTCCCTGACCCTACAATATCTGGGTTTTTATGTCACAGAAGGTGCAGTAGTAGATGAAGCCCTCAGAGAACTGCTTTTCATAGCACTGTAACAACCCAGTTCTCTTGTCCAGAGGGAAACTTTTCTTACATTCTCTGGCTCTTCCTCATCCTCTTTTCACCATTCCAATCCTCAAGAAAGTAATAAAATTATTAGTTGAACCTAATCAAGGCATAGTCATTATGGCTGTGAACTTGAGGAGTGGGAAAATGGAGGAGTCAGTTAAAGTTTGAAATTCTGTTCTGGCTCAAAGCAAAGAGAAATGTAGTATGAAGCATGTTGGGACATATCACACAGACTTCTGAAGTTCCTAAACTCTAAAACACTTGACCTAGTTTCCCTGAGGCCTTGCCTGAAAATAAGTAGTGAGATGGGAACTTGTAGTTCTTTATAAGGTATGTGCCACTTTTTGGGTACTACTTGCCATACAGACCTAATAGAGCTGGGGGATAGGCTTGTACTCAGCTTGCCTGTGGAGCAGGCAGTGTTTCAAATATCTTAAAATAATGTCAATATACTGAGTACTATTTATTCAGGCAGTACTTTTATCTTACAATCCACAATTCTTTATTCACATCCCTCTTCCTCTTTGTCCTTGTTTCCCTACTCATCTCTGTACAGTATCAGCTCTTACTCTCTTACTGCATCTCTCTTCTTTTTGAGTAATCAATTATCATAACTTAGACTATTCACTCCTGATTCCTATAGTCTCATTCTCTTAAAGAATCAAATCATAAACCTACTAAAGTAATACTTTCTCCCAGCTACAACCTCTTAGCAATTTGCCTCTTGCCTCCACAGTGTGTGCTCTTCTTCTCTTCCTCTGGGTCTCCTCTCTAGAGTATGCTGCAGTATACGGACCTGTTAACAGCCTCCAAAATCAAAGGCCCCACAACATGTTGTTCTGGTTGATTGTCTTCTTCCACATATGACGTGTACTCTACAAGCCCTGTGCTTAGACTCCCAGCTGTAGATTGGAGTGAAGGCCTCAGTCCAGCATTATTGACTGACCTGAAAAATTCAGGAAGGAAAAATTAGTGATGGGTAAGGCAAAAATAGTGTCCTCAGAGATGACAGTAATATTCAGCTGAGAGCATCATTCAAAAATGGCATTTAGACAACTATATCTGCTGCTGTAGGTAATCAAGAATACAATTGTACCATCTATGGGGCTTCCTTACACACTCGTGTGAATGAGTGCACACACATATATATCCCAAACATAGAGCTTACAATATGATTTATATCTTTTAAAAGAAACTTTCTTTCCTGTCTTCATCTACTATTTGGCCAAATTAATTCAAAGACCCACCTTTTTTCATGTATTCCAGTTCTACAAGTCAAAACAACTTAATACAACCCATTTCCTTCCACTGGAAGTTATAAAGTGTGAAGAAATTAATTTATTTAAATGACTGTAGTAAGATGCTTCAGCGATAATGTGGGCTACTTATACACATAATAATTCTCAAAGGTTTGCTTTTATCCTTGCTGCCCACTCTTGGGCTGCCCTGGGTCGCTTTAGAGATGTCAACCTGACCATAAAACAATGAGGAGAAGGCACATAGTATACTTACAAGATTATTGGGTAGCCTTTCCTGAGAAACTTGGGAATAAGGAAAGGAGCAAATAAAACAGCTACTACTGTAACACCTACCAGCATTTAGTCTAATTGGCTCAAATTCCCGTAAATCCAGACCTCTTTCCCACAAGAATATCTGTTTCCTCCCCACAGAGCCCTCCAAGAAAAGGCACTTCTGTCTTTTCAGGGTAAGGTCGGTAAAAGAGCCTGCCTTCTACCTTCTTCACTCCGGCTTCCAAGTCCCTAAGCACACACCTTTGAAACTTTGGGGTTGGTCTTAGGTACTCTCATTATGGAGGGAGCAATGAAACAGTGAGAAAGCTTCAGTCAAGTGAACAGCTTTAAAATTCAGGGATCAAGTTGATGACTTTGATTTTCAAGGAGCAGTAATTCAGGAAAAAAGTGACTAAAGCCTAATTTGGGGTTTTGTGATCAATCAACAGATAAAAATAGAGTTGAGATGTTTTTTTAGAAACAACATCAACAATATCCTGAGGGAGTTGAAGGCTTGAGGGCAGAGACAGAAGCATCTGAGACCTCAGCAAGGAAAGTGATTGCAGAGAAACCATGCACTCTGTTTAAATTAAATTGAATGTGGTAAGTTCCCATAGTACAAAGAATGAGTGTTCTTTGTTGTTCTTATACATACCAAGCATAAAATCCTATTTTAGAATCATAGAACCCTCTAGCCGATATACTCATGTCTCTAACCACACCAAGGGGTATATACTTTTGGCTTGGTGCCTTCACAGTAGAGTGAGTGGCAAGACAGCAGAAGGTCCCTTGCATATGAAATCAAACAAAGAGGTAAGAGAAATTCCAGGGGCAGAAAACAGGCCCAGGTTAATGAATTTTTGTACAGGAGGGCTCCTCTGTAATAGGTCTCTTTGGAGTCAGGAAGGTAGGATCTGGAGAAATAGAGGAGGAGATCCTGAGACATGCTACTAGTCAGTTTTCTGGGCAGACTGGTTTGCTAAGTCTCACTTTTATTCCACCTAACACAGAGGCTACAAGTAGCTGAAAGTCCTCAAGCATTTGAAACTTGGTTTTAGATGCATATCATATTTTTTCAGGACCCTGTCCTAAATCTTTTGAGGCAGAACTTTATTTGCATAATTTTCTTTAACAGCAAATACATTGTCCCTCAGTAAATACTACACTGCTTTTCAGAAAACAACTAGCAGAGAAAATCCCACCATCACATTTCCTGGGCCTCATTTTCTGCTGCACACATGGAGACACATCCATTCATGGGTACATATACATTTTCATCCCTCCTCCCTTCTACTGAGGAGTCAACCAGAAGCACAGCAGTAAGAAAAACTCCACCTTTTCACCTATGATTTATCTAGAGTATGAGGCACAAAGATTTGGTGCCTATTATCAGACAGGATAAAAGGCTGAGGGACAAATATTCTGAGAAGTAGAGAGGAGAAGAAGCAGGCAGATAGAATATTCTAGAAAAAAATCATGCATTCCAATCTTCTAAGAGTCCCACTATGCAGTCATCAGGGATAAAACTCTCCTGGCCAGTTGGTGTCCTTCTATCTGTAACTGATTTACCTACAAAATGTAACCTTCATACTTACTGTCACCTTCAACTGACCTAAGTAGTCTGTATTTTTACCTTATCATATTTCTCTACCTATAATGTGCTTGTACATTTTTTGTCTAAATCATGTCAATGTTGTTCTTGTACACTTACCTCTGTTTTCAGGTCTAGACATATGATATTTGAAGACAGGGACAGACTTGTTCATATAACATATATTTATGGCCTTCACCAAATGAAGCCATTTCAGATTCTTTAAGTGTGGACTTGCTTCAACAAAGGCATATTTTCTATAAGCTGGATTTTCTCTAAATTTGTACTTCCACTCTGGAAGTGTCTTAGGTGAATACAAAGAGCCATATTTGCAAAGATCTCTGATGCATTCACTCATCCAAGACATTTGAGGTAATTAGCAGTGACATTTTCTTCCAAAAGTTGCTTAAAAATAAGTACAGACCTCGAACATCACTGGATCTTGAAGAATCTTTCCATGCCAATGAAGCAATCAAGTCCCTAAAAATCCTAGTGTGTGTGTGTGTGTGTGTGTGTGTGTGTGTGTGTGCGTGTGCATGTGTGAATGTACGTGTGTGTGTGTGTGTGTGTGCATTAGAAGTCTTCTGCGAACTATAGAAACTCAAGACTGTACACAAACCTTGCCTAACTATACCTTTTCACCATAAGTACATGTTCACCTCTCATTTGTCATACAATAATTTATTATTATTTTTAATCATAATATTTTATTTTACAATATTCCAGTGTATACATGAATTATTACTGAATTAAATAATTGACTTTATATATATATATATATATATATATATATATATATATATATATATTTCCATCCTTTACTCTTGTGCCATTGAGCAGGATCTGTGGCCAAAAATAAATATTTTCTGTGTGATCCATATGTAAGTGCCTCACTGAGTAACATTTTCAGACATTAGCATACCCTTCCAAAAAAACTTGAAATCAAACAGAAACAAAAATGTGTGTCTTCAAATTTTCACAATGGTAAGTACAAAAATACACCCATCTCAAGCTACACAATTAGTCATAATAGTCTGACAATCATTTAGTCAGAGGCATTGTTCTCTGATTAAATCTGAGTCTATCATTTCTATCTGAAGTATCAAAAAGTCTCCCTGATCCATTCAACACACATACCCACACACCCTGGGAACAAGCTAAAATCCAAATTTAAACAGGTGTGTTTCCTGTCTGCACTTTGTATGTATCCCATAATCCTATACTCCTGTTGTGACTGCCTCTTAATATCCACCCTATTCATGAAGAAAAGATCCCCAACTTAAGAATATGGAAAAAAGCAATCACCTAAATTAAATCACTGGAAAAATAAGATTAATAACAGGTTATTATTGACATACACTTACATCTCTTGGAAGTACACAGGATTCCACACAGGGTCACATGTGGAAATGGGGTTATACTCATCAACACAGGATTCCACACTGGATTTCACACAGCATCACATGGGGTTATACTCATGAACACAGTGAGCAACCAGGGCCTCTAGGAGGCAGGATGATGTGTTCCTTTTTTCTGGGGAAGAATGTGACTGAATTATTTGAATAATCTGACAGATTTTTAGAGACATGAAATTACTCTAATTAGGGATATAGAGTAACTACAGGTAGTTTAGTGAATAAGGGGGGATTATTTGGCTACCGAACCTTCCCTGTGGGCATAGAGTGGGGAGTAGAATTTGCATTTGAGCCATCTGAGGCCCTCTCAGTTTTACCAACTGTTAAAGTACTACATAATTATTAATATTAATTAGGACCTTGAACGATAATTGATTTTTTTGATGTTTTCACATCAGTGCAAAATCCTGACAACTGAAATTTGTAGGGGGTTCTAAGAAATGATTTACCTAAGGCTGGGCATTTAGCTCAGTGGCATAAGCACCTGCCTTGCAAGTGCGTGGTCATGAGTTCAATCTCTGGTACTGGAAAAAAAAAAAGAAATGATTTGCCTACACTTCCTAGGGAAGCAGGAAAGGAGAAGGTCACATAGTAGAACAATCATCAATAACATGACCTTTATATATCCCACTTTATGGCCAATAGAGGTAACTGAAGAACATGTGTATGTCATTGATGGACAGAAGTACATGTCCTAGAAAGCATAAATTTAGACTAGCCACCAAAAGGGCTGTCACTTTGCATCTTAAATAAGAGCTCTTTGAGAAAATTCCTTTACTTTACTCTAGTTCACCTTCACTCATCTTAAGTCCACAAGGACATAAACACAAGACCTAAATTAATAATTTAAATTGGGGTGACCTCTGAGAATAACAAATCATTCAAATGATACCATCCTAGAAATTACAAGTCAAATTTTATTATCACCAGTTGACCCAAAAACCTTTGATCAACGGACCAAGTTACCTAAAGATAACAGCGCAATCCTATTTTAGAGCTAATGTTGACAATAGAGTTTATGACCTCAGGTTGGATCATGACATCCTAAAGGAGCAGCCGCTACTAAGAGTTCATTTGTTAACATGTTTATTATGGGATTGAAAATTTGTATGTTTCACTGCCAGGCAACTTGAACCGCCAGTGGTACATACATGACAATGTGTACCCCTCTACTATCACTGGTACAAGTTGCTTGATAGACAGTCTTGCAAGTACCACTGGTGGCACAAGCCAATGGGAATATGTTGAATCAATATCAGGAAGCCTATAAAGGAGGTGGGAGTTCCATTTACTGCCTTCTTCAAGAGTCTAACATTGAGTATTCTAAGAAGTGAAATCAATTCCTTGGTATAACAGACATTTGGAATTCCAAAGGAGACAAGAAGTAATCACTAAATAGTCAGCCCTCATTATTTGTTGATTTTACATA